GATAACCAACGGAGAACAGTCCAAACCACCAGGTATATCGCAAAAAGAACCCTTACAGGTAACGGCAAAAAATAAAATAGATGGTGGATGTGGGTTTTACTTGGTAGCAACCATGATGTATGTATCAGATATGTTGGTGACAAACCCAGCTTCTCACTTGCGCCTCTCACTTCGCTGGCCTTCAATTGGAAGGTTGAAATTCTGTAGTCTAAGAATTCAATTTAGTGTTGAAAAATGAAATTTGATAAAGCATGCTTTCAGTTACCAGCTGATGCTAAAATATCACGTGTTTTGAACACTGTGAATTGTTCCAGTACAGTGTTGCATTGTTTTCACTGTAGGAAAGATTACTGTGGTGGGTCATGTTTGCTTCATGATTAACCTCTCTGTGAAGTTACAGTTCACAGGTAACTATGTACATTTAGTCTTGGTCCTTGAAAAAGCAATATAAGAGAAGAGTTTGGCAGAACACCTTCCCTCACTCTCTTGCATAGGGTTCTCTTCAAAAAAAAGCCAATGCTTTGTAAATAATGGAATACATGTCATATGAAATGGAGAATTATCATCTTCCAACTTGACTGTATTTTCAAACACTTATCCATTACTGCAGGATCAGAAATGTGAGGCAAGACAACCCAAAACCAAATGGAGAAGCCTTCTTACAGCATCTATGCAATTACCAAAAGCTTTTAAGTTCTTAGGCTGACTTATCATAGAATCATAGAATCATAGCATCATAGAATGGTGAGGGTTGGAAGGGACCTTAAAGCCCATCTAGTTCCAACCCCCCTGCCATGGGCAGGGACACCTTCCACTAGACCAGGTTGCTCAAAGCCTCATCCAGCCTGGCCTTGAAGACATCCAGGGATGGGGCATCCACAACATCTCTGGGCAACCTGTTCCAGTGCCTCACCACCCTCTCTGTGAAGAATTTCTTCCTGACATCTAATCTAAACCTCCCTGATTTCAATTTGTACCCGTTACCCCTTGTCCTATCACTACAGGCCCTTGTAAAAAGTCCTCTCCCAGCACCCTTGTAGGCCCCCTTCAGATACTGGAAAGCTGCAATGAGGTCTCCTCGGAGCGTCCTCTTCTGAACAAGCCACCAACAATTGGGCTGAACAAGCCCAATTCTTGCAGCCTTTCATCATAGGAGAGGTGCTCCAGCCCTCTGATCATCTTCGGGGCCCTCCTCTGGACTCGCTCCAAGTGGTCAATATCCTTCTGATATTGAGGGCTCCACAGTTGGACGCAGCACTCCTGCTCCTCTCCTGATGAAGCTCTCTGTCATTTTTTCCATGCTTCTCTACAATGTATTCCACTACCAGTCATCTACAATAACAACTAAAATTATCTTTTCTATCAGGGAAGAAACAGCAGTTACCACAGGTCTTCTACTCCTTCTTCTTACCTTTTAGCACAATTACCAATACCTAAACCGTCCTTTAAAGGTGCTTATCTGTCCTTATCTAATCTATATTTAAAAACAACGTCTCTTAGCAACTTTTTTTCAAAACTAATTACTGCTGCTGTCTAGCCACTCCCCCTGAACACCATCTCTTCTCTGGCAAGAACACTGCCATCTTCCATTGTTTGCTCTTTGATTTTTAATTAACCCATATCCCACAGAGCTCGCCAGTGCTTTTCCCTCTGCCATGTCAGCAACACAGTTTTTACTTTTTCTAATTTTTCACCTATCTACAGGCTCCACTCCTATCCTATATTAGCTTCACTGCTGCTACTAATTTTTTTTATTCCTAATTTAATTTCCCCTGTTCCTGACAGTTGCTATCCAAATTAGTGGAAATGTCTGCAGAGGTTTACACTAGGTTCTTGCTTGGATAAATTTCAGATTTCTTCTCTAATTTAAATTCTTCGAGACTTCATGCTGTCTATATAACTAATTTTAGCTGCTTCCTGCAACTCAACATGTCCCTTGCCATACAACCAAACATCCCTTTGAGATCTACATTTTTCTTCACTGTATTTTCCTGCTTTATTGAATAAGTTCTTTCATTTAAAATGGCAGTGTCCTTCAATGAAAGCGATTTTTTTACTCCTTCATGAAATTTCTGAAAACTCATCTTTTCTACAGGTAGTTTTATCAGTAATGAGTACATGATTCTCGCTGCTGTTTATACCTGTCTACCAGCACCTCAGAATATCTCATCCTGCTGGCACATTCTTGCTACAGTGGAACCTCATGCATGTTTTGGTGAATAGATGAATAACTGCTTTATTAATACTGTCTTCAAGTCCTGGCCTATAAATGTCATGGGAACTATTCTGGAAAGCAAGGCACACCAGGTATGGAGGAACATTTCCTTTAACCTTGGCTAGAGCTACCGGTGGTTTTAAAAGCATTTAGTTTAAAAAGTTCTTCCTCAATTGTATGATGCTATCTTTCCTCATTAAGCCTTTCTCTGACTTGCCGTTTTCAAGGTAATGGTTCTGCATTGTGGTGAACACCTGCAACTAAAGAATCAACAAGCATTTCTCCAAAGACTGCAAGACAATCCTCTGCCATGGTTTGTTGTCTGAGAGTATTTCAAGGGCTGGTATACAACCTTTCCATTAAATGATGATGGAAGTTCAAGTGAACTTTAATAAAGCCTATTTTTTTACAGCTTTGGGAAAACAGCCAAGATACACACTGTAAGGACTAAGTGAAAATAAACTATTACAAAGAACTTCTTCAAACTGCTTTATTTACAAATTTACGTGACGCATATGTAATCCAAGAGGCAGGCAGATCCCTTCCTTTGTGACTGACTGATAGATAGAGTAGAGCTGTCTCAGAGCCTTACCATGTACTGAGGCTTTGCTACCTCTCCAATGCTAATAGCTAAGCTCCTCCCTCCCATTCATGGACTCATTCTCCCACTTTTCACTTTTTCTTTACTACTACTTCCAGACCAGCTTCTTCCAGTTTGGGGTTCCAAATTATAGATTTGTTTTGTCATAATCAAGGAAAACTTTGAGAGAAATATTTTTACCAATACATAATGCTCACACGGGAACATCTCCCGCAGAATCATCATTAACCAACTTGTCAGCATCTCTATCCTCCTGGATCCAGACTCCATAGACACCAAAGATCACGTCAATACCATGGGTATGCCATGGTCACATGTCAGCAACAGCATGGTCACAACAGCACAGATGTCAGGATGAATAAGGTTTTCAGCTGCTCTCTATATCTCATTCTTCCTCTAGTAAACATGTTAACAGTCATCCCAGGTCCACTCTAATTTTGCCAAATACTGTACTAAAAGATTCAAAATTCCTATTCAGGAGCAGATCTGAATTTCGTCTTCAAGCAAGGTGTTTCCCAGCAGCAACAGCCACTACTCTATGATACACAGCGAAGTCACTAGTTTAAAAAAGAAAATAAATCCACCATCAACTGCTATTTTGAATTCATTACTGACTAGAACACCATGCTGGAATGTGTCTCATACCATGTAAAATATGCTGTAGATATAGTCTAATACCTTGGTAAGTCATTAAAGAAACTTCCCTGTGGGGCATAAGTGAAGTTTGACAAACTTTTTGTAACTATGGTGAAAGCTCTATGATGGGGTTTTCTGCTATGCCTCGCTGTAAAGATACGTTACTCCCAGAGTCAGTGCAGACCCTGCTTCTTTAGGACACTCCTGGCAGCTCATAAAAGGAGAAATCTGTTGAGCAGGTGGTAACCAAATAATTATATTTACACAGCATACAGACTTGGACCAAGCCAAGGTTTTAAACATATCTCAGACATACTTTATTTGCCTACAGTATCCCTGCCCTTTCTCTAAGGGATTTATCCATCTACCTGCTTTTAGCAAGAGCATTCTGGTGCAACAGACAGATGATTTTACAAAGAAAAGCAATGAGGGTGCTTCAGCTATCACAGATGCGTTGGGAACTATTCACTCTGACACACCCATTCACAGCCAGGCAGCACTGCAACCATTACAGAAGCATCCGCTCCCGCTCAAACAAACGAGATATATATTTACTGTACACACACACAGAGCCCTTGGATGACAGTGGCCATGAAAAATGTATTTTGTTAGACTTCTGGAAACGATGAGTAAAAAAAATAACGTAGAAACATAATTGTTGTCCCTAACCACAAAATGCCTCGAGGCAGTTGCTGTCACAGTGAGAGTCTGTTAAAACTATGGCCATTTCCCTTAAACAGGGTTGAGCTTGTACCATATGAAATTTCCAAAACATTTTGTCATTTTGGACATACAATTTTAATTTTTTTCTCTGTATTGTTTCATTTTTAAATACAAATATTTGAATCAGATACCCAAGGTACATAAAGTTAGTTTATAAACAATTGAATTTTTCAGTCACTTCTAACCCTCTTTGTTCCAAAATCTCATCAGTCAACCCCAAAGAAACCTTAGGAAATCAGAAACAAGCATGCTTGGCGTAAAAGCTCTCCAAATTTCAGCCACAGATCACTGCAGTTTTGCTTCTGTTCAGCAAGGCTCTTTCCAAATCCAGCATGTATTAGCTGTTAGTTCAGCCCATGCAACCTCAAGAATGCAGTTGTTGTATGCTGGAGGGGGGGGGTGTTCATCCCCATCCCTCCACACCCCCCTCCTCCCTCTTTTCTCTGCTGTCTGAAATGAAGTTGGGTGAGGAAACTCAGTATGTAACAGCAGTCACGTTGTCAAAGCGAGCTTTACCAGAGCTATTCCAAATTCCCCAATGTACTTCTGTTCTTAGTTTAAACTTAACTTTAATGATCTACATCTCACTTTTTATAGATCTGGAATTGCCCTTTACAAGCAGCACACAGCTTCCCGTGACGGTACAGAGCAGCGCAGCTTGAGGTTACGGTTCTAAAGCATCTCTGATAACTCTCACAAATAAGAGAACTTCATATAACGACAGACGCGAGAAAGCTGTTAGCTGCCTGGCAGAAGAGCTCCTGCTGTCTGAAGCATAAACTTATTAGCAACCATAAATGTTTTCATTCATAAAAAACCACTTACGTGTCTCTGCTAGACAAAGCTTCAGCAAACATAATCCGAGAGTTGCCCATAAGGAAAAGTTGGCCATTGTTTCCTCAGAACTGTTTTGCCAAAACCAGAGATCCTTGCAAGCTGCGGGAAGAAAAGCCCCGGCTCTTGTGAAGCCTGCAGTCAATGAGTCTGAAGTTTGCTGCACTTTTTATTCTGATTCAAAGGAACTGAAGTAATGACATAACTGGGAGGGGGAGCTCCAGTAGAAGTCACACCCATATTGCAACAAAAGTTACCCAGCAGTGGAAGAAGAAGGGGGGGTGGGAGGGGTGCTAGGACTGACTAAGCAGCCACACTCTCCTTTTAAAGAGGCACTAAAGCTCCTCTTTTTACACAAGTACAGTCAAAAGTTGTACCTACTGTGCTTGCAGAAGAACTTGTGTAATTTCTCACGAGGTAGCTCAGAAAGGCACTGTTTGTTACAAGCTTCCCCTTACGCACTATAAAACCTTCTCACCATTGCAAACCAGGTGAGCACAAAGCACGACAGTTTCTGCACCCCTGGGGGCTTCTAGCACTGCTGTAGGTGTTTCCCAAAAACGGTATCCTTGTTTTTTTCCCATCCTACTGTTTTCTCTTTTTGCAGTTCAGAGTAGAGCAAGCGAAATACCTGCTCTGCAACGAACCTTTCCAAAATGTTTCTGTTCGTCCCTGGAGGATAACTTCATGTAGAAGGTAAGTTGAGGTGGCTCAGTCTCCCGCAGTCCATTCTGCCCTTGGCTTCTCTGTGCAGGCAGCTTCCAAGAAAGTGGAAGCTAATGCCAGTGCCAGCAGTGATACTGAGGTCTAAGGTCGATATTTTACGGCATTGATGGTACGAGGTACAGAAGGAATTATTCGTCCTATTCCCAAGTGGCAAAGCAGAGAAACAGGATGAGAATGTATGACAGTCTTTGACATTCAGCCAAGTTCTCAGCTTCTGAGGGACTTACGTTCATTGCAGCGTGGGGTTTTGTGTGTCTCTAGATGCCGCATGAAATCCCTGGTGAAAACCTCAGAGCCTCTGTGGAGAAATGAAAGCCATGCCTGTTGTGTGCCTTAGCGATTTCTCATGGTGTCTCCGTAGACTGGCCCCTCTCGGAGCTGCAGAACTGTGACCGCAGCTCGCATGCAGGGGAATGAGGGGCTGGTCAGGCATCACCCAAGCCAATACGTCTCACCTTTAACAACCAGCACATGGCAATGACTGACAGCCAGTAATGCCCTGACTTCAGTTTCACTCGGCAAATTTGGAATGAATAGTTCTATATCAGATTACCATTTCGTTGATCCTCCCACTTGAAAGAATTTTCTCATTAATTTTTAATCTCTGTTAACACAAACAATGGAAAAACACAGACAGGTCTTTCCAGCCACAGGCACAAGAATGTTACACAAATAGGTTTTCAGGACTTTGCCTTTTCTTTGACTTCTGACTTATAGATGGCTGGCTATCCTTTCGTCAGTCAGCCAACTTTTAAGCAACAGGTTCCAACAGGCTTTTCCTACAGGTCTAGAATATCTGATGGGACAAGGTTAAAGTGAAAATCTTTCTTTAAAACACAGGGGATCTTTTTATTAAGAAGCTAGAAACTTTGAAGCTACAGATACAACATGTTTTATTTAGTGAATATGCTACTTTTTCTTTTGAAAGCAAGGAAAAAACAATCTCCTATGTATCTTATTGTTTGTAGTAGTGGAAAAGAAATAGTTCTGTGAATTCCTGTGTGTTTATACCTATAGGTATTTTGGCATCAAAATGTATGAATGACGTTTAGTGGGATTTGAATACTGGTGCACAGTTAATGCATATTGTTAAGTTTACTAAGCATATTTTTTTCTTCAATTACTAAATGACTTTTAAAATTCACCCCTATGTATGAAAGAAAATAATGGAATATATAATTAAAATTTAAGTGTCTTCAAGTCTTATTTTTTTAATGAACATAAAATACCTCACTGTTAATTCACACCTATATGGAATGAAAAAATGAAAGTAAGCTTTTTTTGGCACAGGTAAATGAAGAATAATGTCCATTTCATGGATGTGGGCAGATGTTACACACGCAGGAGTCTTATTTTACCAGGAGTGGAAATTCCTAGTCCTTCATGGTCTGAAGTTTCCAATTCTAGCCCTCCTGACATCAGATTATGAACAGTTGTTTTCTCGATACTGAATATTATTTGTTATGCATCTCAGACTTCTCAGTGGTTCTGCGTGTGTTTGGTGAGGGTGGGTGGTATTCCACTTTGGAAAGTCTCTCTCTTGTTGCCTTGAAATATTGGGCTAAGACTAGGCACATTAGACCAGGTGCATGGATGTGCTGGTACCTAATGCAAAGGAAAAGACAGGTAAACAAGAAAAATAATTCTTTACAGTATGTTATTTCATGTGATAAACCACAGAAAGAATTAATGAACTGTATCTATAAAACATGTAAGTTTGTCCACTTCATGCACCATCTGCCTGCTTACACACCAGCCTAGGACACACACTTGCATTCCCCCACACCGAGGACTTCAAAGAGCTGCCGTTTACAAAAATATTTTCTTCTTTCCCATCCAAACATGGAATTTCTCCCGTAAAATATGTTTCCCTGGGGTAGACAGCAGTCCAAATGTAGCCTGAGTGTAGTACCTGATGCTACCCAGAGAAATTAGTCAAAGAACATATACAACTCTGGGAAAAGTTCTTTGCTTTGTTTTGGTGATTTCATTGTGAGAAATACATAACTTCTCCTTTAGCTCGGGATAAGTTGGTGTACAGGAACAGAAAAATCCTAAAGGAAATCTTCAGCTGAGGAAATGCAGCAGAACTTTGTTTCAAGTTGAGCCTATCAGGTTATTCCCACTGTGGATTTGTTCCCATGACATTACTGTTAACAACACAAATCACATCATAGTTAAATGTTTGGGCTTTCGGATTGCTTACTCCCTTGGCAACAAGCAGGTAAATTACTGGCACAAAAATTTGTAAAATAGTAAGTGGTACCAAATGAATTAAGTTTTCAAAAGAGAATGAAACAATACAACTAAAAAGGATAAAGCCCCAGCATTTAGAAAATTGTCTTTCCGTGAAGCCTTTGACAGAGTGGATACTGAATCTGACATGGTGCAATATAGCACAGGAACTCCAAAATAACTCATTTGTGATTTTATCACATAGGTGAACTGTAGCCAGCACCAATTAATTTTGATAAAAATCCTATTAGGGAGCACATGTGTTGGAGCCCGAGAAAAAGAATGTGTATGGCTTACAGCAATATAAAGAGATACTTTTGTGGGAAGCCCCCCAGAGGATGAAATTCTGGCCTAGCTGAAGTCAAAAGCCAAAATTCCACTGAATTCAGTGAGGCAGTGTCCCCCTGTAATGTATTTTTATTTGGATTTTATTATGTTGGTAGACAAGAAAGTGAATGTACCAAACCTTACGATGGAAAAAATGACACTGATGGAGATTGGATTCACTATCAAATGGGAACAACTGAAAAGGGGGGAAGAATGAAATCATATTCTTGTAAAAATAGCTGTCATTTCTGTTGTAAAAAACAGATAGTTTTGAAAAGGAAGCTCCTAATTTGAAAAACTTCATTTTTTCTATTGTCAGCAGAAATACGGTTGGTTGTTTTTGTGGTTGACTTTTTTTTTTTTTAATTAAAATTCTTTTCTGAACATTGTTTGGTAGAAATTTCAAGCTTGTTATGCAGAGTTGAAGAACAGAGTCTTGGTGAATATAAAAAGTATAGATCTCATTAGGTAATTCTGGGCATGACAGCATACGTTCTGCAGAGACTACAGCTGGTCTGTGAGACTGGCTGTAATTCAGTTTCAGGGGAGGAGGGAGGATTTTATACCCATTTAACTGTAATCTCAATAAGATACGGTATTTTTAATAAGATTTCCTCCTGTGTCCCTAGACTGCAATCTTGTTTCCTGCATTTTAGACCGGATTTAATTTCAATGATCAACCCTGAAACCAGGTTTTGTATTGGAACAGTTGTAAATGCTTCAGTGTAGCAAATCCCGTACTGCACACTTTTCTTGGGCTCGGAGTGCTGATGGGAAGGCGTAAGAAGAGCCTGAGCTGGTTCAAGCCAGAAAAGCTACTCTTTTGGCTGGAGGGCAAAGCACTCCCTTGGGAAGTTGGGCACCCGGTTCTACTCCCATCAAACTTTTGTTCCTAGATGTAATTTACAGCCCGTGTCCTGCAGAGAGCTAGGAAGATGAACAATGGCTCCTAGTTGTTTACTTCTGAAAAAGGCAGCAACCCAGATTGGCACCTACCACGTGGATTCATCAGCCTGCTTTACTGGTTTGCCCCAGATCCCTATACAAACCACTAATCCAACACTGGCAAAAATCTTAACAGCCAGAATCACTCAAGAAGCCATAAAAAAACCTCTTCACAGCAAGGTTTCTCCCGCAGCAGACCACGTGGCCCCATCAGCTTTCTAGTTCTTAGCACCATCCCAAAGCGCTCGATCCCTGGCTGACCCACATGGCTCCCAGCAGAGCACCGGCAGGAAATCAGGGTGTCAGTCCCCATTCACAGCTCTCACACCTGGATACCGTCCGTTACTACGGCGCTGTGGAAGATGGGGCAGCTGCCCCCAGATGTCCAAGCATGCAGCACAGCCTTGCTGAACACATTAGTGACCGCCTGAGCTACAAGCACTGAGTAGGGCTGGGGAGTGGGGGGAGGACAGGGGGAACTGAGGGGAGAAGGGGGGACACTTTTTCTCTGTATGTGGTTTCGGTCTATCGCTGTCCCTCTCCACCCTTTGTGGCCCTCCCAGCACACACCATGCAAGAAGAAGCTGGAAACCAATCTAGCAGAGCATGAGCTGCCATCCCTGCACTAGACATTCTGTGTTCCCACTCTCCTTACTTTCATTTGCAGTTTCACAGCAGCTAAATCAAGCTTACATTGGGCCACCTCCGGGATGTGCTCTTTCTCATCTCCCCCACTCTCCTCCCCACTGTCTTTCTATTCTTTTCCTTTTGATTGTGCTTCTTGACTTTTACCTCGATTTCTATCTCTCGTCTCCACTCATTTCTCCTTCCTCTCAGCTGCCATCCTTCCTCATCCGCTCTCCCTTCTATGCAGCATAATTAAATCAAACATTTGAAGCTCCA